TAGTCCGACACCTTGCTAGATTCCATGGGTGTGTGTGTGTGTGTGTGTGTGTGTGTGTGTTGTACTGAGTCTTGAACTCAGGGCCTGGACACTGTCCCTTAGTTTTTTTGCTCAAGGCTAGCACTCAACCACTTGAGCCACAGCTCCACTTGGAATTTTGGTGGTTAATTGAAGAGTCTAATGGACTCTCTTGCCCAGGCTAGCTTTGAATCTTGATCCTCAAATCTCAGCCTCCTGAATAGCTAGGATTACAGGCCTGAGCCACAGGGGACCAGCTGGTAGCTGCACTGTTGCTGTGATAGTTAACTACAGCCTCATGTGACTGCCCTAAGAGGAGACACCTGGATGCTTGTGACTGCTTTCTCCTAGACACCACTTTTCCCTTTGTGGATTCTAATTTATTCAGCATTCTATTCATTCTAACAAACCAGATCCAAGGGCGTTCTAGCCTATCTGAGTCCTACCAGTCCTTGTAAATCATGGAGCCCAAAGGGAGTCTTGGGCCCCCCCCCCTCACTTCCCCTTCCACACAGTCACTTGGCTGAGGTTCTGGGATGGAGGAGCAGTGATAGAGAAGAAACTTAAAATGTTACCAACCGATAATCAATGATGAAAGACCTGCAACTGGACCTTGGAGGGTTCCCTGGGGGAACTGTGAAGTTCTTGTTCTTACATCTTAGAGATTTTGCAGTGTAGTCTCCTATGCAGGTCCCTTTAGCAAGTGGTGTGTCCACTGACCAGCTGCTATGGGCTTGGGCAACCAAATGACTCACTAATGCCCCCAGAATTGCCCTTGGCTGAAGGGTTTCTGTCTTTCCTGGTCCTCCAGCCAATAGCAAGTGGCTGGCTAGGCAAGATCTATGGTGTCATTCAGGCTGCAAAGCTCGCAGGGGTCAAGGTAGAGGTTGTTTCTTGCCCAGAGAACATGCTTTTGGAACATTCTTCCCTGGCCCTACCTGCTCCCTACACCAGGGAGTAGAATGTTTCTTGAGATCGTTTCCTCTGTAAATCACTTGCCCAGGAATCTCCATTTCAGGGAGCAATTTGAGAAAAGCCAACCCAGGAAACAAAAACAATGCTCAAACTCTCATGTCTATATTTGGCCACCACAGCAAAGGAGTGAACAAATTTACAGCATGGGTCACAGCATTCTGTCTCTTTATCTGTCAATCATTGCAGGCTCTAGCCTAGCATGAGTTTTGAATTAAAGTGGAGGAGATGCACCCGTTATTTTTGTCAGCAGTTCTGGGAGACAGAGGATGATGTGATTGTTGAAGACAAGGTTCTGTTCATAGCCACAAACTTGCGTCATCCACACACCCCCTCTTTCTCTATCCTAGAGCCTCCTTGCTCCACATGGGTCAGCTTCAACTAAGCCTTAGCCAGACTGACTGGGAGAGGTTAGCTTAAGGACTCAGATAATCCTTCTGCAGGGACTTTGAGGCTGGTACCATGCCAACAGGGAGATGGCTCTTTCTCGTTTCAAAGAGGAAATAGCTAATCCCTTCTGATGAAGTGGAGTGTAGTGGAGCCTCTTGACTGAGCACAGAGAGAGACTTCTGCTACAGGCCAGCCCCCTCATGGGTGGTGTTTGGTTTCCTGACCACAGATTATACTTAGAACCCTGCTGTAATGTCATGATTTGTGTCTGGGTTCTATAAGGTTTGTTTACCAGTTACTGGAGATTGTTCAGAGCAAGAAAAACAGTCGACTCTAGGTAAACATGAACTCCAAGATCACAACTGTCGAGATCAGGAAGGGTTTTCAGTGGTATTAGTGAAGTTCTTAATGTAATTTAATGAGGCAAAAAAATCTTATCGCAAGTATCAACATAGCCCCCAAATCTAGGAAGAACGTACAGTCATTTTACTTCAGCTCAGGACAACTAGCAGGCTCAGATGCAAAGAACCCCCTCGCCCCCTTTGGTTAGACACCAATACTTCTCAGAAGGGGCTGGGACTGCTAATCCTAGAGTTGAGTGGTTGGGTCTTGGTCAGGAGACTGATGGAGAACTTGGGAGGGTTAGGAGATTTGAAAAGGGAAGCCACGTGTCATATACACACAAAGCACCTTCAACTCCTCTCACCTGAATTTACTGCAAGGTTACCTGCCCTTTGATCAATTCTTATTCCTGCAAGGAGGAAGAACTAGGAAGGTTTAAGAAAACTCACAGCAGGACAGGGAGAATATTGCAATGTTAAGTGTGTGTTCTCTTCCTGGGATCTGGACTCCATTCACATCAAATCCCGCTGCTGACACCTGTAGTGGTGGGTTCTTTGCCAATATCTACCTCACCTTTCGGTGTATGGTAAGCTAGCCTCTGCCTACCTTCACCTGTGTCTACTTTCTAGTCACTGGAGTCCTTTCTGCTGCAAAATGGCTAAAGGTTCTGGGGCAGAAATCCTAGGGAAACACTCATTAACCAAAGACTGATTGGAGAAAAGACTAGGTTCATATATCCTTCTCTACCTCCACAGCCCCCACAGAATGACCATAACAGTTTCAATGGCTTCTTGGTTCTCTGTCATTTCCTCTTTTGGTGTTTTCCTGAGTCTGTCCTTCTTTCCCTTGCATTTGAATCTTTACCTTAGGATTTATTTATTTGCAGGAAATCAAATGAGCCATGCCCCCTCTCCCTTCCTTATTTCTTTGCTCATGACTCAGATCAGTTCCCGAGTGAGAAGAAGCAGTCTGGAGAGGCAGAATGCCATTTCTGAGGTCAGCTCCAGGGGCTCCAGGCAAAGACCCAGGGTTCCAGACAAAAATGAATGGAGCATGAGGTCTTTGCTGGGCTGGCTCCTGACCTTTGTGTTCCCTCTGCTCCCATGATCAGAGCAGATGTTTCTTCCCATATCGATCCCAGCATCTGTACTGCAGGTAGACTCCATGAGATAAATTTGATGCAGAAAAGGGCGTTTTAATTCCAAGTCTGCCAATAACTGTGTAGCTTTGGGGAAATAACTACATTGCTCTGGGTTTCAGTCTTCAAAATGAAGTCAATATTTATGTTGATTAACAAGAGAGGCAGAAGTGTGATGTGGACAGGTATTAACTGAGCTAAGTTTCTTCCAGATATTTGGTCTGGAGGAGAGAAAATGCTGTTTGGCAAGCTGATACCTGTGTGCTATGACTCATACTAGAAAGGTGGAGTCATCTGACCTCTTTCTTCTTCGTACATAACTTTCTAGATCAACAGAGCAACAGCTTTGGAGCTTTCCTTTGGTTTGTTCTGACCATCCCAACTGATGTCTGATTTAATGTCTGGTATAATCAATCTCCCCTCAGATCAAAGAGGAGGGTTGCCATGTTGTCAAAGATAATTCTAACAAATAAAGGCATTTCCCTTTTCATCCTCTTGTCTACATTCTCCTCTCCTTGAATAACCTCTACAGGGGAAAGAATAGCTTGGCTCCAACAAATCAACCACAGCATAAGCTAAGACACAAACAAAGATGGTAAGAGCCAGGTACAGGTGGCTTATGCCTGTAATCCTAGCTACTCAGGAGGCTGAGACCTGAGGATCACAGTTCAAAGCCAGCCTGGGCAGGAAAGTTTACGAGACTCTTTCTCCAATTAACTACCAGGAAACTGGAAGTGGTGCTGTGGCTCAAGTGGTAGAACACTTACCTTGAACTGAAGAGCTAAGGAAAGTGCCCAGGCCTAGAGCTCAAACTCCATGACTGAATAAAACAAAAAACAAAAAAAGATGGCAATATATAATGTGGCTCATGCCTATAATCTGGAGGATTGTGGTTCGAAGCCAGCCTGGGCAGGAAAAATCTGTGAGACTCTTATCTTCAATTAGCTACCAAAAAGCTAGAAATGGAGATGTGGCTCAAGTGGTAAGGCTAGTGCAAAAGAAGCTCAGGGACAGTGGCCAGACCCTAAATTCAAGCTGCAGTACCACAACCACAACAACCACCACAACAAGAAAACCCATCATATATATTGAATCTATTCCAATAAAGTTTATTTGGCTTGTCCTGATCAAGTTCATTAATGTTTAATATATTTTTGAAACATAAGTAGTTATAACAATTCCTCTGTAATAACAATCATATATGAACTCTGACTCAAGGTCAGCAGCTGCTCCTTTACCCAACAAGCTGCCCTCTGCAGACAAAATGGCACATGAGGAGTGGTATGTTAAAAAAAAAACCCTAAACATTTCATATGTACATATTTCCCACTTAAAAACTGCTCAGCGTGATTAATTCTGTTTTTAAATATGTTTCTAACCGGTTGCAGTTCTCAGTGTACAAATCATAGTTTGTTGATTAAATTTAAGGTGCTGAGAAGAGCGTGAACACAGTCCAAGCCCCACCCTGGGGCATCCTCTCCTACAGATCGGTCAGACTTTCTGTGGGTATTTTTGGGGTATTGTGGGAGGGCATGGACACTAGTGGCAGAAATGGTAGTGTTCAGGGTCTAGCCTGGGGGTTGTCTGTGTCTACCTCGTGCTTTTGCAGAAGGCCTGCAGGCTCCAAACTCAGCCTAAGCTGAGCGGGACACCATCACTTTCTCTGGCATGGGGTCTCCTGTCTGACCCCTGAAGTTGGCACCCTTTCTTCCCACCTTTCTGGGTTTCTTGTCCCAAGCTTGCTAGCTATCCAACACTTTTCTTTTCTCCATTGTAGGGCTTGAACTCTGAGCCTGAGTGCTATCCCTGAGCTCTTTTGCTCAAGGCTATAGCAGTCTACCACTTTGAGCCATAGTGCCACGTCTGGCTCTTTTGGTGGTTAATTGGAGATAAAAGTCTCACAGACTTTTCTGCCCAAGCTGTCTTTGAACTGTGATCCTCAGATCTCAGCCTCCTGAGTAGCTGGGATTAGAGGCTTGAGCCACCGGTACCCGGCTCTAACACTTTGTTAGAGCTTGCTCTTAGTCAAGGCTAAATGTATGCTCAAAACCAAGGTCAGTATTAATGAAAGAGGATGGTCTGAGGTGAAACCTTCCCTTCTAACACATTTGGTCTATGGCAGGCACTGCATTGCTTTCTTCCAAATAAGCAATCTGTGCCGAGAACATTCGGTCCCGAGGTAGGCTTGGAGGGGATGTGTATGTGTGTGTGTGTGTGTGTGTGTGTGTGTGTGTGTGTGTGTTTATAGTGGGCAGGGACTGGGGTAGACTGGAGAGATTCTTAGAATTGCTGTCTTCAAACTCACCCGTATTCAACATCCACTGAAAAACAAGGGCTGTGTCTTCACGCACGACAGGAAAGTGCATAGGGTGTGCTAGAGAGGGGTGTTCATGCACGCCTGAGAGAATGACTGATAACCCACGTACCCCAAACTGCTCTGCTCTGTTCTGCAACAAAGATTTCTTCAGAGCTCGCAGGGATGAGGCTGATACAGGAAGTTGCAGGTGAAATATGCTTGGAGATTAGGAGAATGTAACCTATTCACTCTCCAATCTCAGAATACAAGCATTGCTCTAAAGAAAAGAACCATGGTGTGGGCCGGATGGCAGTGGAAAGGGGAGAGACATATCATACCTGACCACACTTTTTGACCAAAAAGCCAGTGATCCCAGCAGAGGAAGACACTCTAATGTGTATCGACACTGGCCGGGAGGCCGGGAGACTGGGATTCAAAGCTTAAGCCTGACGCTCCTCCTGGGATGGATGTGTGGAATCGCAGGCAAGTCACTCCTTCTCTGGGTCGGTGTCCTTCAGCTGTTCTGGAGGCTCCGTGGGCCAAATGGCTTCAGAACTCTGCCTGGAAGCTGCTCCTGTACCTTGCCACAGCAGGCAGGGGCCACAGACTCTCTAAGACCCCTTCTCTGTGGAGGGCCACTAAGAAAATGCATGTCTTCCCTTTCCCGGGGGGGCCAGTGACCACCCCCCCAACCAGGCTCTGTCCCACCCCACCCCGTTCCCAGAGGTTAAAGGCTAGTTATTAAGGCAGTTTAAGAAATGGACATTTCTCTCGCTCCTCGGATCCTTCACAGGTTCTGCTCACCCCGAGGCAGCAGAGAGGGGTTGGGGGCGAGGGGGAGAGGGCAGAAGGTGGTGGAGGTTACCAGGGGGACTGACTCCTGTGTCCAGACCCGGCTTTCTGGGGGGGTCCCCCCTCGTTAGAAGTGCCCAGAGCACCCCCTCTACGCTCACCACCTTTCTTTAGAGAAAGCTTCTGTCTGCACGAGGTCGCCAGGGTGCTCGGTGATGCACGCGCCATTGAGGTCGCCCAGTTTATTATCGGGCAGGTCCTCGGGTTTGGTGCACAACTTCAGGGCGCGCGAGATAAACACGTCCAGGTCGAACTGGGGGCTGGCACCCCCATCCACCGGGGCTGGGCGGCCGGGGGGCGAGGCAGACAGGCGATGCTCGGGGCTGTCCCGGGTCGGGCTGACGCGCTCGGGCCGACCTTGAGTGCTCTTGACCCACTGAGCAATCTCCAGAAAGAGGCTGGCCGGCTCGTCCTCGGGGGACCCCGCATCTGCGGCCACCGCGGCCGCTGTGGGGGGCGCCCCGGCCGCCTGCTTCCAATGAGACAGGTCCAGGATGAGCTTGGGCTCCGAGTAGTGGTGCGGCTTGTTGTCCCGCCACAGCAGCTTGTCCAGGTAGGACGGGGACCCCACTTTGTAGTCACAGGAGCGCCCGTAGTCCGCCTCGAAGGCCCGCTCCATGGACGAGTGCGACTGCTCCAGGAAGCGCTCCGAGCTGCTCTGCGAGTCCTTGCGCGGGTCCACCTGCACGTCCTCCGCCAGCGGCGCCGAGCCCGCGCGCGGGTCCCGCTGCACCTCGCTGGCGTCCTGGCACCGATCCGGCCGCCACTCCAGGTCCGAGGACAGGCTCACGGGGTACCTGCCAAAGGAGCAAAGGAGGGGTTGTGGGAAACCCAGACTGGGTGTCTTCAGGACGATCGATCGCAGCCAAGTCTACTCTCCTCGGCCCCCAGATTCCTCCCGCTTCCCACCCCTGCGGGCTTCAAGGAGGCGCATGGCTGAGCCTCAGAACCCAGAACCCAGCTGGGGGCTCCGATTGTTCACCTTAATTCCGGAATTCTTTGGCAGCCATTTGAGAGCCTACAGCTATCCTTAGACATATGCTTCAGAACAAACAAGCAAAAAAGATTTTTGGCCCTCAGGGACTGTTCTGGTGGATCCAACCTAAGTCGGCTCCTCGCTCTTTGATGGACGCTGCAAGACCACCCTGGGGTGTGGTTAAGATGATCGGGGGACAGCGGCAGCTGGGGGGGTTGGCGGGGAGGCTGGGGATTCTGCACATCTAACATCGTGGCTGCTCCCTGAGTGGCAAGGCAGATATAAGTGCGCTCAACCCTGGCTCAGCTTCTAGTCACATGGAGAATTACACGTACCAGGAACCAAGCCTGTCTGCCCGCCCCCCAGTTCTGATTCAGGGTGAGGTCTGAGGTAGGTATAGGGCCGATAACCTGTGCCCTAGTGCACCTGGTGTCTTGCACCAGATGTGGAGCAGTAGAGAGCCTGGCACACTGAGGTAGAGCAGGCAGGGCTTGCAGACCCGACACAGACGCCATCTGGGAAGGCCAAAGATCCTTGGATTCCGCCCCCAGCCAACTGTCCTGCAGCCACAGAGAGTGAAGTTAGCCAGCCAAGAACAAACCAAGGGCAGCTGGGCAGGCAGGCGGGCGGCAGCTGGGCTTGGGCTCCAGCCTTGTGCCAGGTGCCGTGTGTGGAGCTGAAGTGGACAGGGGAGGTAGGGAGCACAGAGAAGGCAGCAGTCCCTGGTCAGCTGCTCCCAGAATGCAGCGAGAAAGACAGAAGGAGGCCTCAGGGCTTCGCCTAGAAGGGTAGCAGTGGCTCTCAGAGCCCAGCACTACGCTCTCCTGCAGACTTTTCTAGGAGGAAGAGATAGAGAAGACACAGCCTTTGGCTGACACATATATCATCCATTGTTCTTGCAGCACACTTGGGTTGCTTCCCTGGCTTTCTAGACACTAGCATGGCTGGAGATAAAGTGGTGCCCACAGCAGCATGGCCTTTGTCCTTCATGCAAGTACCATGTCCTTCACGCAGGAACCTGAAGCAGGTTCAGTGACAGCCAGGGTTGATGGACAGTGACCAAGGGAATCCTGAGACAGTGTCCCCTTGCACCAGCCCTAGGCCACAGCCATGATACGAACAGGATGAACCACACAAAGCCCATGCCCAGTGGCCCCAAATTCTGTGCAGTGGAGCGGGAGGGGCTGTGAGCGGAGGGATCACAGTTGGGCGGGCCCAGCATGGGGGTGGTGGAAGAGTCTTCATTAATCTCTATTTGCTGGCAACACTTGACAACAACAATCAACGACGACGACCACAACAAGCCAGCAAACCTGCCCCCAAAATAGCAACGTTGTCCTGGTCCTCCCTCGGCATCTCCTCAATCTGAAACCCATCATCTGTCAAATGACTAAAAAGGAGAAATTGCTCATCTGTCACTTATGTAACTAGTTGTCACATTCCCAGGGCAGCGGGGCTCCCAGCTTGGCTCTCTGGAGTGGTAGAGGCTCAGCCAGCCCTCTACTGCTATTTCTAAATGGAGCAGCCAGGGGCCGGCCAGCACTTCCTCCGAGAATTAGCTGATGGCTAAGAACATCAGGAGCAGATTGGATCTATGAGATCACTATGTAACGAGGCAGAAATCAACTAAAAACGTGTCTTCTACTTAACACTCATTCATTGGTGGTTTCCAGGGATCCTTGTTAAGTGTTAAAAATCAAGAGGCTGCCCAGCGCCAGTGGCTCACACCTGTAATCCTAGCTACTCAGGAGGCTGAGATCTGAGGATCACGGTTCAAAGCCAGCCCGGGCAGGAAAGTCCGTGAAACTCTTATCTCCAATAAACCATCAGAAAACCGGAAGTGGCACTGTGGCTCAAGTGGTAGAGCACTAGCCTTGAGCTGAAGAGCTGAGGAACAGTGCTCAGGCCCAGAGATCAAGCCCCATGACTGACCAAAAATCAATCAATCAATCAATCAAGAGGCTATGTCCAGGAAAGACTCCTATAATTACCCAGTGGTGTCTGTCATGGATTTTGATTGGAGAGGGCCCCACAATAGGTGGCCTATTCAATGTGTGACGTGAGGCCAGTCTCTTAACCTCTCTGGGCTTTAGTTCCCTTCTGGTCACTTTCAGGAGGTGTTAATGATGAGATAGAGGAGAATGTGGTTTGGAATGATAAAATCTGCATCGTTTTCTTGTCCTGCATTGCTCTAGGAGACTTTATCCAGGGCAAAATTTCAGCCTGCTTAGAAGTGAGCTCCTAGAAGTGGGTATGTACTAATGCTGGCCCGTTGTATTCACTAAACCTCACGTTCTGTAGGCTTGGGGTGCTGAGGAGGGCTGAGTGCTTGTGCTGCGCAGTGCAAGTTCCCTGGTGCACCCACACAGAAGGAGTGTCTGGGGACAGGAGAAAGTCTGTCCCCCACTTGAGGGACAGAGAAAGCTGATGGAGAATCAAGGCAAAATGGAAATGGGCAGACGGTCCCTGGAACCCCACCTGTCCCAGTTGGAGAGCTGGCTCTGGTTGGCAGCCATCAACACAATGTCATCGATCTCATCCTCGATTCGGAAGGGATGCTGTGATGTGGGCTCATCCTCAGGGCACGAATATGGGCTCATGTAGGGGTGCTGCAGCCCCATCTCAGCTGTCAGGCGGTCCATGGGGTTAAAGGTCAGGATCTTCTCCAGGAAGTCGATGGCTGTGAGGAGCAAAGCCAGATACAAAGGTCACCTGTGGCCTGTGCCATGCTAAGAAGACTTCTTACCCTAGTGACATTGCCTGGCACTGGTGCTTTTGTGTTCCTTAAAAAGTTCATAGCCATGTTCTCCTTGGGCTCCTCCCTACAGTTTGGTGACAAAGAGGAGACAATGCTGCCCTCCTGACAGCAGGAGGAGAGGAATGAGAGATGGAGAAGGATACTATGATTTATTCAAGGCCCCAAGGCTGGTGAGAGGAGGTGCAGGCTAGAGTCTGCCTAGCAGACGGCTAGTTTCTGTGTGGGGAGCTTTTGAGAAGCAGCGGTACAGTGGGAGAGAAGTCAGTGTCAGGTCCACTAACAAGCAGGGTACTCCTGTGATGCCAGGCCCCAGTTTCAATGAGTGGATGTCCCCTGGAGGTGGCATGGGACAAAGCTTACAGGCAGCACCTTTGAGGGGTGGGAAAGTGGGGCCCTTCACATCCTACACCCTTTGATAGGGGTTGAGGGCTACTGGGGTGGGGCAGAGGAGCTGGCAGGAGGAAGCCATGGTGATGAATGTAAAGCTGTCTTGTGATCTCTGTCCTAAGTCATAGCAGGGTACATCCTGGTTCTCGAGCTGCTGGAGTCTCCACTTAAACCATGACTTGGTGGCTCATGTTCTAGCTCACATGGCAAGGAAGAAATGAAGCTGATCTCAAAGCCAAGGACACCCACCCAGGGCTCCCAAGTGGGCCTCAGCCCACAATGCTAACCTATCCCCTTATACCAGCCTCGGATCTCTTTGCAGGGCAAGTCATCAATGATTCAGGAAATCAATGGCTTCAGAAGGTCATAGGCACCTCAGGAGGACTGGTGCCCCAGGCTGAAAGATTAGATAAGTAGCAGAGGCTCAGATCACTGCTGGTGCTCAGGGGGATTTTGAAATCTGAGGCTGCAGATCTGGAAGAGGGTTTACCTCACAATTCCTCAGGCCTAGAAGAATCAGGCATGCAAGGGCAGTACCTAGCTCCAGGACTGGGAAAATCTTATTCTTTGAGCTTCTGGCCTTTCTTTCTTCCCCACATATTACACAGGACCTTTTGGACGGGTAAGAGAGTTAAAGTACTAAACATTGGTGCTACCATCTTTACTGTCATCCCTACTTTAAAAAAGAACAAAAAGGCAGGGGCTGATGGCCCAATGCCTGTAACCCTAGCTACTCAGGAGGCTGAGATGTGAGGATCATGGTTCAAATCCAGCCCAGGTAGACAAACCTATGACACTCTTATCACCAATTAACCAGCCAAAAGCTGGAAGGCAGCTGAGATTCTCCTTATTCCTCTAATGCAGTCCAGCACTCCTGAGAAGCCCAAGACATAGAAAAACCTTTCTTTCCATCAATACTGGATTTCTCCTATAACTCTCACCCTCGGACCCAGCTCTTCCCTCCTTGTTGGTCATCCTCTCTTTCCCATGATTGCCTCCTGTTTCTAGGTAGTGGTGTGTCCCCAAAGTCACCTGCTCCTAGTACTCCGCTGGTCTGCTTTCTCCCATCCTCTCCTGCAGTGATGGGGTCTGTATAACTGTGCCCAATGGGATGAGGAGAGATGATGTGTATATTCCACTTTAAATGTGACCTACAGGAAGGAATCTGTACTGCTCCCCCAGCCCTCCTGCCACTGGCTCCCACTAGAAGTGGCAGATGGCTGGCCTTCTGACAGCCTGGGTCTCAGGGGAGCTACTCAGTCTCTCTAGATAAGGTAAGACATTGCCCATAGAATGAAACTTCTGTGTAATCTTGTCACTGTTCTCTGGCCAAGAGGGCCTCAGACGGCTCCTTAGAGCCCAGGTATTCTGGAAGGATTCTCAGGAGCATATCTGGAGATTGAGTAGGCAGGTAGGCAAGACCCTGTGTCCCTCACCCCTGCCCCATCCCGAGCACCCCTGCTGCCTGTTTGGTAGATGAGGTTTCTTCATCAGATTGGCCCCTTTTGGTAGATTTACAAGCTGGACATCCTCAATGCAGTGCTGGGGTTTGCCTATCTTGTGCTGCACCTGTACTGGGGACTGCTACTGCCCAGTGGCTGCATCTAGACTCGATCCTGGAGCTGACCAAATGTCCACCCAAGCCAAGTAGCTTCACCCTTCACCCTTCAGCTTGAACTAGTGTTCTGTTGGCATCTCACCTTACCAAGCAATCAGTGAGAAATAGAGCCACAAACCCACCTGTCCATTGGTGGCCCTTAGCTTCATCCCCTCTGATGTACATCTGAGGATTCACAAGCTTGGAAGAGGCCACACAGTCTGCCCAGCTGTGTAATCAAAGGTTCATGGGGCTCACTCTAGTTGCCAGTACCCCTAAGCAGCCCAGCTTGGAAATATACCGAGAGGCAAATGTGAGGATCTCAGTTCAAAGCCAGCCTGGTCAGAAGAGACCATGAGATTCTTATCTCCAATTAGCCAGCAAAAAGCTGAGAGTGGATGAGTTGAAAAGGCTAAGGGATAGCACCTAGGCTCACAGTGCACCTGTCCTGGCTCACATGTGCACCTGTGTGCATGCGCACATGTACATGCACACGCGCACACACACACACACACACACACACACACACAGAGTACAGGTCAAACATCCATATCCAAAATGCTTACAACATGACTCTTAACTGCCACGCCTACTCCAGTGGAGTCTGCTTAGCATGGGAAACCTGCTTTCAGACCTGAGAATGGGGCTTCAAAGAGGCCTACCTCCTGGAAAGGCTGGCAAGCCCCTGGGAAAGATGTGTTTCTGTTCTTGCTTTTCTTTTCTTCTCTGTATAAGAGTGCCTATTAATCTTTTACTGTTTCTGCTGTTCATTGTACTTATTGTCAACGTTCCCTTATTCAAAGCTCTTTCTTAAGAGTGTTGACGACTCCAATATCTGATGAGTGTCTTAAAAATATGACTAACTCAAGCACTGGTGGCTCACGCCTGTAATCCTAGCTACTCAGGAGGCTGAGATCTGAGGATCATGGTTCAAAGCCAGCCCGGGCAGGAGAGACCGTGAGACTCCTATCTCCAATAAACCACCAGAAAACCGGAAGTGGCGCTGTAGCTCAAGTGGTAGAGCGTTCGCCTTGAGCTGAAGAGCTGAGGGACAGTGCCCAGGCCCAGAGTTCAAGCCCCACGACCGAAAAAAAAAAAAAAAAAATGACTAACTCACCAGAGTTAAGTGCTACCCTGAAAGCCCCTCTTATGGAGGCTAGTAGACAAGTCATAAGTAAATATAAAAGTATTGGGGGTTTCACGATGTCACTTCAGCAGAAGGAATTGTTTGTAAGAGATTTGCAAGAAGCTGTAGGCAAGGCTAGAACAGAAAGAATGTATGGCAATTGCTGAGATAACTACTTAGGAGAAAGAACTTCCTATTACTCCTTTTATTTACTAAGAGACTTGCTAGATCTAGGCCTCCATGGCGCTTACTATTAAAGAAGGAACAGGAAAGATCTTATGGGACAGTTAAGGCCTCTATAAAAATAGGTAATGGTTAATTGGTGACAAACATCGAAACCCACTGTATTTCTTAAAAATAGAGATAAGCCGGAAACAAGTCCCTATCAGGCGACCAACTGGTGACCACCCAAGAACAAAGCCCTGCAGCAAGATTGTGTAACCTTTTGCCCTTTCTCATGGAGACCTTTTGCTATAAAAGCTTGTTATCCTCTGCATTAAATCGCACTCAGCATCAACTCCTCTTGTGTGTGAGTTGTCTGTTTGCCATCTCCCCACCTATTCCAGTTCCTCCACTAGGTGTCCTCCGTCGTCCCGACAGAGCCGGTCCGCGGCACTTAACATATATTTGTATGGTCTTTAGTGGTTAAGAATCCTAAAACTTTCTAAGTACTGACATGATGGTTTATAGCTAGGGAAAAGTCACTCTTGAGGGTGAGATTTGAGGTCTATATCCAAGGACCATACGCTGCCCCCTGCCCCACAGACAAAGCCACAGCTCGGCCTCCTGGGAAGCTGGCTGGGCGGTCAGGCTGGGGTACCTTCCCCATTCACTTCTGGGAGCAGCTTGCGCAGAGGCCGCTTCACCTCCCAGGTGCTGTTGATGAATGAGGGCATCACTCTGAGCAGCTCATTCTTGTCTTCTTCCCGGATCACAGGGATGGTCTCCAGGATGAGTTGCATCTGTTCCAGCTCGTGAGCCCCTGGGGAAGCAAATGTTGCACGGTTAAGTTTGCCACCCTCCTGGTTGTATCTATAGAAGTCCCAGAGTCTCTCTAGCTGGCCGCGGAGGGGCACCATAAGACAGCCCTGGGCTGGGGATCCAGGAGCCTTGCGTTGTTTTCATTCTGTCATTAACTCTATGTGACTACTGCCTCTGAGGCTTGACTTTATCAGATGTAGAAAGAATGGGTTGAATCTAGTTGTCTCCAAGCCCCGGCCACTCCCCTGGCTTTCTGTGCTTCTGGAACAGGCCAGTCTCACGTGGCTTGAGTCAGCCAGGGCTAAGGAGATGGGCATAGCCTGGGCAAAGCTCTCCAGATGCTCCTTCCCATATGCCTCTTCGCATGCTCTCTATGTAAGGCAGGGAATGAGCCTTCCCCTGAAGTTTGCAAAGGGGAGGTTCCACCCAGAAAATGCTCAGGAGGGGAAAAAATCAGGAATAACACATGAGATTTGGGATTACTATAAACTTACTGCCTTATGATGAAAGAGGAAAGTCAGCCAGGTCTGTGGGAGAAGTGTGGTGGGAAAGGATGAAGCCATTCATTTATCTATCATTCATCTATCCACTCATTCATTCATTCATGCGCTCATTTGTTCAGTAATGATATACTGAGTATCTGCTTCATGCCAAGCACTGTGCTAGGTATGGGAATGAGCAACACTTCATGTCTGTGTCCCTAAGGAGCTGTGTGTCTTGGTAACTCAACTCATCTTCCAGGCAACCACGGGACCAAATAGCATTAGTGTTCTGCCATTGCTTGTACTGGCCAGAGCTGTCTCCCTGTACCATCCCTGATTGCCAGACCATCCTTATTTGTGTTCCTCTTCTTAGCCCAAGTAGCCTTTCCACTCAACTCTGCTAGGTTAAACCCTCACCCACGCCTTTCCTTCCTGTGAAGCCTCCTTCAGAGCCATTCACCTGCAGAGGGTCCTCCCCACCCCATGCTCCTATGGGATCTAAGGCTTCCAGGAGCTGCTACCCCAAGTTGAGCTCTCCTTTGTCCTCCGCAATGTCCCATGTGATATGACATCTATTCAAATGCTGTGGCCTGCTCATCAAGCAAGTGCCTATAGCACCACAGTCCACCCTAATGGGGTCCTTTTGGTCTCTCTAAGCAGAGGAAGGATTTTTTGTGACAAGGTGAGTGAAAAATCATGATGGATTGGGAAAGTGGTGTGGCTACAGGACAGAGAGAGAGGAGAAGAGAGAAAGGAGAGGAGAAAGAGGTGGGGGGGGGAGGAAGAAAGAGGGGAAAGGGAAGGGGGAGAAGGAGGGGGAGGCAGAGGGAGTCAAAATGTAAGATGGCAATTTTCGGCCGTCAATCTCAAGGTGTTGGAATATAAGTATGTCTTCGACCATTGAAGCTGCTATAACAAAAATACCATAGACAAGGTGTCTTATAAATAACAAATATTTATTCCTTTCAGTTCCAGAGGCTGAGAAATCCAAGGCCAAAGCACCAGTGGATTCCATGTATGGCTCGTTCCTCATAGGCAGTGCCTTCTTGCTGAATCCTCATATGGTGGAAGGGATGAGGGACTGTGTGTGTGTGTGTGTGTGTGTGTGTGTGTGTGTGTGTGTGTGTGTGTGTGCGTGCACGCGCGCGCGTGCCAGTACTGGAGTTTGAACTCTGCCTGAGTTTTTTGTTCAAGGCTGCTGCTCTACTATTTGAGCTACACCTCCACTTCTAGCTTTTGGGTGGTTATATGAAGATAAGAGTTTCATGAACTTTCCTGTTCAGGCTAGCTTGGAACTGTGATCCTCAGAGCTCAGTTTCCTAAGTACCTAACAAGTGTAATCCTATTGATGAGGACAGTGCCCTCATAATCTAATCATGTCCCTAAAGTCCAATCACTTAATATTCCTAGATTGGGGTTAGAGTTAGGGTTCCCTAATATGATTTGGGGGGATACAAACATCCATACCATAGCAAAGTGGCTACTTCATTGAAAAAGTTTCTGTGTTCAAAAAGCTTATGTTAATTTTTACAGCATTTCTGGCCAAAATTATATGCTTCTGAGAAGTAACACAAAAGCCAAAGAAGTCATTTCAGCAAAAGGTTGGCATGTGTAGGGATTAGCACTTGTTTTGTGCTCAGCCCTCCACACCAGAAGAGCAAGCAGGTGGCACAGTTAGCAACTTACCAGCAAAGAGCATTCGCCCAGTGAGCATCTCTGCCAGGATGCAGCCGGCCGCCCACATGTCAATGGCTTTTGTGTAATTGTTGGGGGACAGGAGCAGTCGTGGAGAGCGGTACCACTTTGTCACCAACCCCTCTGACAGATAACCCTGGAAAACAAAAGGCCATGTTCTATGGATTAACTATTTGCAGATACCTTCCTACAAATGCTTCTTGCAATACTCCCTCCCAAAGAGACAGAGTCCCAATCATTCTTATTCTTTTCCTGTTGACCATCAAGGGACTAGAGTGAACAGAGGTCTATTTAGGATGACTGAACTAGGTTTATGGAGCTCAAGGGCTTGAGTGGGGGAAACTCAAGAGGTCCTGTGATGCTTCTTTGTAGAAGGGGATCCTAGATATCAATAATTAGGATAGAAAAAAGATTTCCCACCCCAAATGGTATAACTAAGCATAACAACTATGCCCACACTGAGTGTGATGCATACATAAATAGGAACCATGCTCAAGTTCATTATCACCATCCACAGAGTCATGATGAGAACTGAAATCACATTTCTCCAGTAGTTGAAGCTCAGAAATAGACATCTATTTGAAATGGTGCCAGTTACTTTCGTGCAGGTGATCAGAATCGATGCTGTTACAAAGCCCACATGCCAGGCCTCCATGACACTTAGGAAAGTCTGACTTCATAATGGACACAGACAAATGGCACATGGAAGTAGCCTCGAGTGACAGGGTGGTCACAGCTTCTGTTGGCCCAGGGATCCTCGAGGTTCTCACATAATGTCGTGTCAGGGGACATAGCTGGGTTTGGCCACTGTCTAATGATCTGTGCTCTGGGACGGAATTCATTCCTATTGAATGTGGTGAAGACATTTTAGCATAGATAGGAAAATACACTCAAAGTAACACAGGAATTGTCTTCTATGCAGTTCAGAAAGCTGACCCAACAATGAAGCCTGAGAGATATACACTTGCAGTCCCTGAATAGTTTTCTTGCAAGGAGAGCATAGAGCCGTTTGGGGTGATGGTGAGGTAGACTCAGGAAGCTATTAGGGATTATGGGATGGTCTTGTCTTTTGCTGTTGTAATTTCCCGTTTCACATCTGAATTTTCCTTTGATTGATGCAGAAGATCACAGACCCAGGTCAAAGCAGATGAAAAATTAGGAAGAGCAAGTGCCCATGAGCTTGTGATCTACTGATTTAAAATCTCTTAATTTGTTGAGCAAAGACTTATTAAACATTGAAACCTTCACAGGGCCCCAAATTATGCCAGTATCCCTCTGTTCTGCAGCCCGTATTTCTTCAGAACTTTAGACTGGCAGAAGGAAGGAAGAAACAGATACTTGTGGAATGATACACACACACACACACACACACACACACACACACACTCTGTGTGTGTGTGTGTGTGTCTGTGTACAGTGTGTGTGTGTGTGTGTGTGTGTGTGTGTGTCTGTGTGTCTGTGTGTAGTACTGGGGTTTAAACTCAGGTCCTCATCTTTCATACATTTGGCCTTCTACTCTCACAGGTGGTTGGGAAGGTTACATAACTTGATAGTTGTTCATGTTTTATCTTGTTTCAAAATGGGTTAGCTAATATAATGATTATAGCAATTTTTTTGCCAGGCCTGGGGCTTGAACTCAAGACCTGGGCACTGTCCCTGAGCCTCTTTGGGCTCAAGCTAGCACTTACCACCATTATAATCTCAATATTTTGTAGTTCTATCATATCTAACAATTCCTTTCTGGACCCTTCCAGCCCTACTCTTTTCTGTTTCCATTTATTTTGCCTTCCTAAGCTGGTCTCAAAGTTGACATTTTCCTACCTTGGCCTCCTGAGTACTGAGATTGCAGTAGTGTACCACCATGCCTGACCTGTCCCCCAGTTTGACCCTGTACAGAATGCCATCTAAATATAGCCTTTTGAATCTGAATTCCTTCACTTAGAGCAATGCAACTCACTCATGTGTGCATAGAGTCGTTGGTTAGGAATCTAAATGTGATTCTAAAAACTATAGAGACAAGCCAAACTGTCTGCAGATCACTTCTGGGTGTGTGGGTTATAAATAGAATGGCTTGGCCTATTGTTTTTTTCCAGTTAGAGAGTGAGATAGCCAGGGGAAGACTAAAGCTATGAATAGTCTTTTCTGGAATGGAGTGTTCTAGTGAGTCTGTAGAATCTAGGACTGGAGAAAAGTGAGGGAAACACCTGTCCTGAAGGGTGTTTATTCACCTGACAGGCTGCTTCTTGGGCCAGCATTATGGACCAGGATGAGATATGAGCTCTAGCTTGCCTATCAATAAAAACCAAGAACCTGCTGAATTTGTGTCTGCTATGGATGTTTCCATGGGCTACAGGATGCAAAGCGGATTTGTGGACATGTTTTAGAAGCCACAGGGCAGAGGAAAGTCTGGGATGTTGGAGTGTCTTCGGCTAAGCCCTGGGAAGAAAGATGAGACTAAGCCAGAGGCTCCATCCATGGGTCTGAGAGTAGACGGTGGGATGACGGAGACCAGCAAGCAGCTGAGAGGAGACTGGAGGGTCTTGGGGGGAGAAACTCTGTGCTGCCCCCTCCCCCTTCTTAGCAATCTGAATCTAAAAGAGAAGTCTCAGTTGAGTAGATGGGTGGAAAGCAGAACTTTCTAGGAAAGGAAAACATTTTAATATCCAGGCTCAATTCCATCAGCAGGGCTCACAAATCCTCCGACAGCTGTTCTGCCCTGTCTGCAGCTCCATCTCAGGGGTGAGATCTGACTCTCCTGGGCAGGGCAGGTACCGGCTTGATGCAGGTGTCTGAAGGCAGCAGCTTGCTCTAGACTATCATGTGAGGCTCCGAGAAGACATGAAACCACACAACCAGGCACTTCTCCACAACCTCTGCTCAGCGTGCAACAGACAGTGCTAGGGTTGTTCCTTCTAAGTGTCTCTTGTCCCTCGGCATCCCATTCCATGGTAATTCCTGCTGCGAAGGGTTCAAGAAGTACCACTGGGGATGGAGGACAGTTGAGTTTTCTTTCTAGATCTTTCCATGGGACCACTGGGGCCTTCTGCAGCTATTGATTCTATCATACCACTTTTGCTGCCCCTTTCCAGTGGCATGAACTCCATGAGAAGCTGTGCTTTTGAAGACTTCAAAGGGGTTGGGGAGATAACCTAGCAGTAGTTGCCCCCCAGATCTTGGGAGAAGATGTAATGAAAGCCTGCACATTCCCTTTGCAGAGGGAGCAGGAAGCCAGTTCCCAAGTCCAACTGCCTGCTAGAGGATTCAGAATGGCTTGGACCAAAGTCACTCCAGCAGGCTGGGCCCCATTTCTGGGTGGGTAGACACTGGTTAGACTTGCCCCCTCCAAGTCTCCACTGCCCATAGCCTGCCCACTTGTGTCTGAGAGTTGGAAAGCTGGTCAAGAAACAATGACCAATAAACCCACTTCACCCTGTAATGACAGTGTGCCTTTTAATCTCTTACATGAGGAATATAAAGGGGGCAGCATTCTCCAAGAAGAAAATCTCCCTCAGCTGTTGCTCTGAGCGTGTGTAGGAAGGGTAGAGAAGGTAGACAGGCAGGCTCGGGCAAGGTTGAAGGGTTATTTCCACTCCTTCTTTCAAATCAATGTTTATCATGGTCCCTGTTTCCTGGATGGAATGTGGGAGATTCTAACAGCCTCGTCTTCCCAACCAGAAGTTTCTGGAATGTGTCCTGAGATCTCAACCCATGTCAGTCTATGTGGAAGACACAAAGGTAGTTAAAATATCTCTTTTGTTTGTTTGTTTGCTTTGGCCGGTCATGGGGCCTGAACTCTGGGCCTGGGCACTGTTCCTCAGCTCTTCAGCTCAAGGCTAGTGCTCTACCACTCGAGCCATAGCGCCATTTCTGGCTTTTTCTGCTTATGTGGTGCTGAGGAATCGAACCCAGGGCCTCATGCATACAAGGCAAGCACTCTACCACTGAGCCACCTTCCCATCCCTAAAATATCTCTTTCTTCAAACACTATCTTGTATGATTAAAGAGATGAGAAGCTAATAGCAAAAGGTGATCACCATGGCTATCCTTGATGCTGGGCCCTGTTCTGGCCTGTTCCAGGAATTCATTCAGGAAGACTGGAAGTGCTCCCTAGAGTGGTAGAACCCATTTCAGGTCCCATCGCTGGGAAGTGGCCCTGACGCTCACACACACAGTGGGGCCTCCGGCGATGACACTCTAAGTTCAGTTGAAGGAGAGGGGACAGCTAGGCAGAGCAACACTCTAGGTGTGTGGAGGCCAATGAAGGAGCCCCGAGGCCAAGCGTGAGCTGCTCTTGAGGGATAGAGCCATTGTCCATGTGGGGGGAGCATCTTACATATGGGGGGTGCTGGGAGCCAGTGGGAGTGAGAAGACTCAGAATGTGCTCAGAAGACAGAGACATCTAGGTCTATGGAATAACCTTTGTTCTGAAAGTCAGTGGTCCCCATGGGTGTCCGACAGCCAAAGCAAGGGGAGAGCTGTGCGCATGCGCATTGTTCAAATCCACTGGTTCTCATATATCCATCAGGCCTAGGAGACATGCACGAGTGCCTTCTCCACGGTGAAATCACCTGAGGGGCAAAGGCTGCCATGAGGAATAGGGGTGCAGGGATCGCAGTGCGGGTGTAGCCCCTGGGTGAGAGTCCTGCTGGTTTTATCAGGAGGAGGGGTGTTGGCAGAGCCAGGCAGCTGCAGACTCTAGTCTGTATGCTGGGGCCTCCTCATCCCCAACGCCTAGCTAGAGTCTCCCTTCCCTCAAGGATACAGCTGCCTGGACATCTGGGGACCAACTTCTCTGAGAAGGCCTTGGGAAGACCTCAAGGCATGGGCTTCTCAGAAGAGTAGGCATATACACAGGCTTCCCTGTGTGATCTGGGAGAAACGAGGCTGTGGACAAGTCACCATCCATCCATCCATCTATCCATCCATCCATCCATCCATCCATCAGTGTATCCATCCATCCATCAGTGTATCCATCCATCCATCAGTGTATCCATCCATCCATGTATCCATCCATCCATCCATCCATCCATGTATCCATCCATCCATCCATCCATCCATCCATCCATCCATCCATCCATCCATCCATCCATGTATCCATCCATGTATCCATCCATCTACCCACCCACCCATCCACAG